TGGTTTCTCCTGAGAACCTGTCAGGTAGCAGGTTTAGGATTGTTCAGGATTATCGAGTCACGACTGTATGTGAATGAACAGAGCTGCAGCAATGAACTGATCACCTGTCAGCTAATGAATAAATGTCTAACAGTTCTGACAGTTGATTCATAATAGTCTAATCTCGATGATTGGAGCTTCCTAAACGACTTGTTTTTGTCCGTAATGTGGATTCATTCAGTAGCTGAATGACTCCAGGCCACCAACAGCTGATCTCAGATCTGAACCTTTTGCTGAATTAATTTCTAACTGTTTGGATAATTGATCAGTTTCAGCACTTTTTGAGGAAAAACTTAAAATTCTCTGATTGCAGCTTTAAATGTAGATAGATAGATAGATAGATACTTTATTCATCTCCAAGAGAAATTTACAATGTAAATGTTTTCTGGTGCCTGTGACAGTAAACTGAATATCTTTGGACAAAACAAGGCCTGTGAGGAAACACCCATGTTTGTTTTTCACCATTTCCTGACATCTTAGAGACCAAACAGCCAATCGATTCACCCGTAAAATAATCCACGAATCGGTGGACATTGGGAGGAACGGGGATGTCACAGAATGATCTCCTTTATACTTGTAGTGCTCCACATGTCAGAGGAAAGGTTGTAATTTTACTACCGACCGTTCATAACTGGTTTTCTCTTCTACTTAAAAAAAGTGAAAACATGAAGTTTCTATCACATGAAACAGCTCAACAGGAATGAGTCTGCGTTGATCAGAAGTTCTCCATGACTGCAGCTCATCTGGTGATGAACTGGGAAGCACTTGATAAAAATAATCATTAATCAGTTACAGTCCAATAAAACACACTGCAGCTGACACACAACTCATCAGCAATCAGTAACAACCTGATCACAGTCACAGGACCTGTCATCGTTAGTTTCCTGATTGACATGATCCTTCATTTCCACTGAGTGTTTTTCTACTGCAGTGTCAGAACTGCGTCATGGTGCTGGTGGAGCTCTGATGCTGACCGGGTGTTTGACGGAGTAGTTGATGATCAGGAAGTCGTTGCCGAGTGGAAGCCAAGACCTCATCGTCACAAAGTCTCGGTTCTTCAGAGGAGTCGGACATTTCCCTTCAAACAGCAGACAGAAGAGCTGCGTTAGTAACCAGCTGGTTAACAGGAGAAACATAAACATGGCTGTAGTTCTCTCAACAGTCTGACAAAACCTGACCTCGAGCAAGACAAAGGACAGTCCGAAAAGAAACTTCTGCACATCTGGGTTAGGGATGTTTGGGATGGATTTAGTTAACTGATCTTGACTTATCTAACCCTAACAGCTGGTCCCAGACCTGCAGGGACGTCCTGCACCTTTGAATATAACCGTTGACTTTCACAGTGATCACAGATGAACAGGAAGTTACCATCAGCAGTGGACGAAGTGGAGCTTTGGAGTGTCGAGGACAAAAGTTAATCTGACCCTTAAACCCAGGAGCTCTGGTGGATACACTGGCAACGTGACATAAAGACGTTTTTTTCTTTTTGTTTAAACTTAAC